AACTTTAGATTAGAAATGTAAGCACTATTGGCTAAAAACGTAAAAAAATTATTTGAGGTAAAATATGGGCAAATGTATACACTAATCTGTAACACAAAAATGTTAAAAATTCGAAATTTTAAATTAATTTAGAAAGAATGAAACCAAGAAACTTAGCTAGTTCATATTTTCTACAAGTCGCTTACAATAATGTAGAATATTATTGTAAGCGATTGTCTTATTTATTGTTTTCATTTTGGCCCCACCAATGGCGAATGATGGCGACTCAGTACTAGTAGTTTGCCCAGGTTCTAACCTTGGCGAACCGACTGGTTAGTTTCCGAGATTTTCCCTATGTGTTGCTTGAATACGAGACGGCTTCTCTTAATCCTACTTGAAGGTCCTTGTGGGGTCTGTAATCTTCAAATTATCTAACCGAATCTAATCTTCCTTTAATTCTGAATATTTTAGCTGAAGCTGATCAGCTTATATAATGCATAACTGCAATAACTTCTTTACGCTCAATCTATTAAACCGCAAACTACCGTCCGAGTTGGCTTCCTTCTACCAAGTTATTCGTATTGAGTTTTAATGTTAACATCGGATGATTTCTATGGACTTTGATAATAGTAGTTAGTTCTATGGAATTTGATGGTAGTAATGGACGTTTGCACTTTTAGTAGCATGCATGTAGTATATTCGTCTACATATAGCATAATAAAATATTAACAACGTGAGTTTGAGATGCTTACTGGATTCCTGATTATTCAAAATGTGACATGTGCACTGCTTTGAACAATCGGAAAAAGGTAAATTCATAACATATATGACAAAAACATAAAAATAATGCTGTTGTTCAAGGTATAAGGTATTTTCTCTCTTCTTCTGCGTGCCTTCGTGATGTAACGGTAGCGCACTTGGCTCGGATTTGAAAGGTCCAAGTTCGAGTCACGGCGAGGGCATTGCTCAATTTTCGTGCTTCCTACTTCAAAACTCCTAATTCCCTGCAGTGGTGTCCTAACTAAAACATGGTGGATTATGATTCTTCACTGATTCCACGTATCTAAAGAAGATTATAAGCGGCACAAAATGGCTGATAAGTTATTGCAACGTATAATAAGAGATAAGATAATAAGAGAAACAACTTACGGCAAACAGTCCTGTTATGGTTAATGTTATCGGCTCGCGCTTCTTGTTCATGGAAATAGATCTTATGAAACTTGATGGTTGCTGCCAGACATGAAATGATAAAGATTCCTATCATGCGCACAATATTGGTCAGTGTCTCTATGCCGGAAGTGGGGCAGATGAGGAAACTATTGAGACCTGGACAAGCAATTGTTTCGTACATTTTTAACTACCCATAGGAAGAACAGAAACATCTTGTGTCCTATAAAAGCTTTTACTCTTGTAACCGTTCAAGCATATGCTCTTGTATGTAATACTCACACTGATGTGTCAAAAATCATTGCTAACAATGGTCAAATTTACATGCGGTGTTCTCATTGCATTATAAGAAGTTAATAATCAGACGGTTGTCAATACTGTCTGTTTGAATTCTGAAGTCCACCGATTAATTGAACCTCCACCGATTAATTGAATCCATGTCAGATTTACTTTGGAGGATTAAAGAATGACACACACGCTATATTTTCTCCCTCTTTTCTGCATATTTTCGTGGTGTAATGGATCGTGAAACTCGGCGCGTATTTGAGCGGTCCACTTTCGAGTCGCGGCGACGGCATTCCTCATTTTTCCTTCATTCTTGCTTCAAAATAACCTAATGACTCTACAATGTACCCTAAAATTTTAGTAAGTTAATCTAGGAGAGTTGGTATTTCGTAATGTAGTACATTGTTAGCTGTCTGTTTCACCAGTCCATCCGCCAGTTCATTTTCCATAATTACTTCGTATACTGGTACACAAAATATAGAAGGACAGTTAGGTCGCAGTGCGTTCCGAGATTTTAATTTAATTTTTAAATATCTTTTAATTTACTTCATTTCCTGTTACTTGCAGTCCATTGACTCACTTCAAGCGACACAAAGCAAGCACTAATGACCCTGACATAATGGATGGACTGGTGTACTTTGGTTTACATTTAATTTAAATATCTAAATTTATGAACTAGAAATTAATTAATAAAAAGTTAATTTAGTTCAGAAAAAATCTGATAACACATTAAATAACGTGGGTTTCAGAATTTCTGTTTGAGCATTCTACACTAGGGATTTATAGATTAACTCACAGTGACTCTCAGCTTGAAGTTCACCAGTGACAAATACTCATAGAAGGTACCTATGTAATCCAAATTAGTTTTAATTTACATATGTATTTAAACTAAATGCACTGTATTGGTGATATATGAATGAACCCTAACTGGTCTTTAATTTTGCCTTCAAGATGAATACAAATTTGTATGTAATAAATTAAAGATAATTCTATAACCACACAATACGTAATAATAAACATGTATTTATTAAGGTTTTCTTTTTTGTGGCTGATACAAAAGCAATGGTCTCCGTTTTGTATAATATTTAAAATAATTCATTCTCTACGAATCAGTATACCTCTAGTAAATTTATATTCACTGTTTAACATATTATCTCAATCGGAATCACAATATAACTCAAACGAAGGCAAAATTAAGCTATGCAGGCAAGCACAAATAAACCTAATTAAATTAAATTTACTCCCAGTTTCACTTAGTTTTATGGTAGAAATTAATTAATAAAAAGTTAATTTAGTTCAGAAAAAAATCTGATAACACATTAAATAACGTGGGTTTCAGAATTTCTGTTTGAGCATTCTTTCCTCATTAACCCCATTCATTGTGCTCTGTAAAATAAAGGAATATTAAAGCCATTAAACTGCGATGCTCACAACATCTTCTAATAATATCCTGTTCTTTAAGTGATCCTTTTGTGCAACATATTGATAAAGGAAATTTTAAGTGCCTCTTGAAAAACTGAGACTACTGTATCTACTTTTATCTGCCCTCTGGGACTTGAACCGTATTAAGAAAAAATAGCGAAAAAAATTAATTTTATCTTTATAAATATGGAACACGTATTTTTTCCCTAAAGCAAAGAATAAAAAATCAAGATCGCGTTCTTATTAAATTTGAGTGCAGGAAAAATATCTTTAATGCAAAGAATAAATTTCCGATTATTAAATTTTATTCATTTCCATTGTTAGTTAATTACTTTTATTTTTCAGGTTTGATTAAATTTGTCTAATGCAAAAAAAATACTTCTCCTTAAATCAATTTTATAAATGTGATGAAATATATGGTGACATTGTTGTGTAGATTGTGAAATTATACCTTTTTTTTTTTTTTTTTTTTTTGATTGTATGTTAAGAAACTGACTTACGGATAATATAAAATGCGTTAATATATTAATGCTGCCTCTATAGCAAATGAAGCTTTTAACAAACCACCCGTAGTTTGGCAGTCTCCAGTTAACAAATATATTGTATTGACTCAGATAAAAAAATCCCAGTTCCAGGATGTTGCATTAGAGGCATTTACTCTGATGACCAGTTATATTCCTCAGGTACTCAATGGACAAGGTATCTAGCACTAAGCCGACCACAGAAATCCATGAACACATAGCTGAGTACAGGTTTTCGTTGAGATGTCAGGAAATGTCGTACACTTAACTACAAATTAAGGGAACAAACCGAATGCAGAATAACATCAACCTAATACTATATCCTCATTGCATCCTTTTATGTATATCATAACTGTTTACAACAGTCAGGTGTTGATGATAATGACACCAACGATTTAGAGTTAATAACCTACCTAGATACCTAACTGATCCCATTGCAAATAGCAATGGGATCAATTAAACCCACCTTCCTATCAACAGATGAATATGTTGAATGAATTCAGAATTTGAGAGTTTAGAGACAAACCACACTGTGTCTAAACTCTCAAATGGCAATCATCAATGCTCTGACACAAGAAAGGTACATTTTTGCTTCATTCGTCAAACTAATTGCTTCTGCTCTAATATTAATATTTTTTCCCAACGATGGACCTGAAAGAACTGCAATCTTCACAAAGTATCATAGATATGCAAACTTGTATTAACCAACTTAGAACTGATGGTAGAATATCTTAATCTCTCTGCAGAATTCATCATTAGTTAATGATGAAGTAAGTTTAGGGTAAATTCTAATCAATAACCTAAAGCTAATATTGCTGAACGTCTAATATGATAATCAACCCGTTCTGACGTTCATTTGTATGCGATAATTCCTTGACAATGATTCATATTTATCTTCCTTTATTCTTCACTTATTCGATTTAGAATTCGAAGATTTTCTGTCCATTTCGTTTCAGGCCACCATATGAGCTACATCTATGGAATGCTTGTATATTTACTCCATTTGCCCCCTGTGTAAAATAAAATTGAGATAATTTCTCTTCGAAAGAATTTATCAAACGTTATCAGCCTCAGACATTAAGGGTTATTATTTTTTAAGGATTTCAAGTTCTCTGTAATGATCGGTAATCTAACCTAAACGTAGAGCAAATATCTGATACATTAACAAAATTATTTCTAAAAACCCCCCATTTTCCGAAGTTTTGTAATTTAGTAATTACTAAAGGATAAAAAAGGTTTGCAGTAAAGAATGGATGTGATAAGCAAATGGAAAACAATTTGCTAATAAACTGAATAAAACTTCCACTGTTAAATAAATTCCATTTGAGATATTTAGATCGAATTCAAGCTCTTCGTGATAATAAATGAGAATAAATAGTGTAAAATACCTTGTTCAGTAAAACAAAAATTGTGTTGAATGACATACAGAATCTATATGCTTATTGCATTTCTTATATGGTAGCATGTTAGCCTTAAATCGAAGTATAATTGGTTGTGAGATTCGCATTTATGAAAGGAAATGACGATTGGTTTGATATTATTTTTAAAGGATCCAGAATTCAAATCCACCCAGAGAGTTTTATCATACAATACTGCTGAAACAGAGTCTAGAAAGCAATCATAATATCAGTATTTTTATCCATTTCTTTTCTTTTTTCAGCGTGAGCTTAAACATTTACGTAACTTGTAAAACTGTTTCATTATCCTTTCTTTGTTGTAAAAACTGGGCAAATCTTGTTTGAAGATCATAGATATCCAGGAAACTGCAAAAGGTTTGTGTAGGATCCAAACGACGAGTCAGCTCTTTAAACCCATCATGCGCCTCTTGACTACAATTCGCTTGAACATGTAGAGACAAACAATAAATAGTGTAGAATTTTGTCCTATAAAATAAAAAAGTATTAGGATCACACACAGAAATTAAGTCTATTTAATATGCGTATTCAAGTATTGTTTATAGTAGTACATTACATATAATTCGAAATGCATCTGATTGAGAGATTCGTAATTATGAATGAAAATGGCGCTTTCCTGTCATTATGATTTAAAGACGCCCAAATTTTTAATTTGAAGTTTTATTATGGTTTCCCTGACCTCACATTCTATCAGGCTGTTTTTGGAATCACGCGTAATAAATAAATATTCATGTTTTATTATTCTATATTCTCATACAATGAAAAATTATAACTATAGGTGTTCACATATCCGTCCTCATGCTTTAATTTCAAAATATCGCGTCGATCGTAATACATCCTCTGATCGTACATAGTATTGAAGTTTCACAAATCAGTGACTTAACAACAACAAAATTTTTTAAAGAGGCTTACAGATGGAGGACAAAATAATGCGAACGCCTGTGGAAAGGCATGACGTATTTCACACCTGCAGTACAGTCACGTCACCTTCAACAGAAGTCTGCCACTTAGTGAGTGTGAAGAGGAAGGTATCAGTCTCTCAACAGCAGTCACCTGCGTTGCATGCTTCGATCGAACTGACTGTGAGAAGTTAAAATGTCAGGCCTGTCAGAGTTCGAAACAGGAATTATAGTTGGAGCGCGTTTAAGTGGAGCATCGTTTACGGAAATAACAAACCTTGTGGAGCGTGCAAGGAGTACGGTAACAGCTGTTATTACAGCTTACACGAAAGAGGGTAAGACGACCTCTTCAAAGCACAATAGTGGTCGAAATTCAAAACTGGCTGATAGGGATAGACGGTTCTTGAAGCGCATACTAGCCCAAAAGACAAACAATCGTTATCCGAGATAACATCCGAAATGAACAGTCATCTCCAGGACCCCGTTTCAACAAAAACTGTCAAAAGGGAACTTCATGCTGCGAACATTTATGGCAGAGTGGCAATTCGTAAACCTTTGGTGATAACAACTAATGCTTTTAAGCGACGCCAGTGGTGCAGAGATCCCAAACGCTGGCTCCCACAGCAGTGTCAACAGGTAATATGGTCAAATGAATCGTCGTTCACCCTATTTCAGATGACCGGACGCGTTTATGTCTGCAGAACGCCCATAGAAGCGTTTGATCCTGACTGCCTCTTGCCGACTGTGAAGCATGGGGGTGGCGCCATTATGGTATGGGATGCGATATCTTGGCGTGGTCTTGGGCCACTTGTTATTCTGCATGGAAGGATCACATCCAATCACTATGTAAGCATTTTAAGGGAACATGTCCATCTTTTTGTCCAGACTGTATTCCCTGGGGAGCGACCGCTTTTTCAAGAAGACAATGCCCCTATCCACACTGCTAGGTATATTCAAGAATGGTTCAAAGAGCATGATGATGCAACTGAGCATCTCGCTTGGCTCCCTCAGTCTCCGGACTTGAATATTATTGAACATTTATGGGGCATACTTGGGAGTCCAAACTTCGTTCCTGATTTCCACCTCCATCCGGACTTTCGGAATTAGAGACCGCTCTGCAGGAGAAATGGCTTAATATTCCTGTAAATATTGTCCATGACCTTTATGCAGTCCCACAGCGCATTCTATCTGTACTTCAGACAAAGTGTGGTCCAACCCCCTATTATAAATATTTTCCATTATTTCCCCAGATGTTCGTATTATTTTGTTCTCCATCTGTATGTCTTCATTAGAATTCCGATAAAGTATTGCAACATATTTTTTTCATTCTGTTCTCAATTTATGACATCAATGCTCAGTTTTCTTAATTAGATGATAAAATTTTGTATTTCTAATTTTAGCTTTGTTTATAAGACATCACTTTATTCGCCCATTGCCTTTTAAAATTCCACAACAAAATCACAAAATATTTAAAAGCAACAAATCTTTACAACTACCAATACGATGTTAAGTGTCGCCTTATGTTTTTCTATATTCGCCATATTATTTTTAGATATTTGTTATATTATTTTTTAAAACTGCATGTAATGTTTCTGTGTATTTTTTAAAAAGTAATACTTAAAAATATTACATGCATCCTTTTAATTAAAATATGATTCGAGACAAAAGTTAAACGAGCATAAATTTGATTATTGAGATTAATAGCCCCTCTGAGTTAATATTTGGCAGAACAAAAAGGAAACAAAATACTTTTCACAGGAATCCTACAACATATAATATATATGTATTGCGTAATATATTTCTGAAATCAATTTCATTATTGTAATTATTACGTACTGTAATTATTATTGCTTCATTAGTACATGGATATTATTAGCCTATTACTACAAGGTTTCTATAATTAAAAGAAATGCTGGCTATTTTTCGGGCAGAATTAGACAACCGGAAATGGCAAATTACTTGCCGCTGTTAGCAGGTTTCTTGGAAAAGACTAATTTAAATACAGTTTATCAACTATTTATGCTATTTTCTAGAGAAGAGCGTATCATTCATTACACATATATTTACTTTTAGCTTCGTTTTATTTATATTTGGATTAAAAAATATTAGAAAAGATTTACTCCTACTCAGTTATTCTTATCGTGCAAACCCGAGATAAAATACCTTTGAAAATAGTCAAAATTGTTATTTGAACTGCATTTTGTGTCAAATAAGCCATATATTCATATCAATACTTTAAAATTGATTATTTGATAGGTAATATAAATAATTTTATAATAACATACGGTATTTGTTATTTAATAAATGTATTTACATATTTTCAAGGGTATCACAGGGATATATGTGTAGATCGAAATTAATTTAAATTTGTTGACACCATACAAATGACAGAGAAGAACTTGAATCAAAGTATCTATTTTTAAATATATTATAAACATTTAAATTTCTTTACCTAAAAGCCAATTAAATTATATATTATTGACTTAAATAAAATACAGTTTTTAATGAAAAAAAATAAAAGGACAAACATTTGATAATATTGATATAAATTTAGAAAAACAAAAAGACTTATCATGCGCGATCAACTATGCCAAATGAAATATAATTCAAAATTTAATATTATAAACATTTTTGTTTGTTAGAACAAAAAATTAAATATCGTTTACAAGCGATCAACCGAATGTGATACTTTACTTAATGCTTGTTGGTATTTAAAGCAAGCAATTAGCTGGAGGTCTTGTGTTGACCACATTATATTTTTATTACATAAGATTACTCTGAGGTGGATTAAATTGATTAAATTCTTTATATAAAATACGACAATAAGTGTCTATGAATCAGCTTTAAGAGATAAAATTTTATTCTATATCTATTTTTTTTCAATTATAAACATTAGTTTTAATAAATGCCATGAAAAGATTTAAGATATTACACATTTATTAACATTAATTGAAACAGCTTTAAGAAAATCAGGATATAGTAACATTTTTCAGATAATTTAATTAATTGAAATAACTCTTTTATTACTTGTTCAAGCGAAGATTGAAAACAAACATATTACGTTAATTAAAGAAATATTTTCAATCAATAAAAAAAACTCATATGCAAGCAGAATAATATTTATTTGATTCGCTAGATAATTAAGAATCTAATCATATCGTTTCATTCACCTAGAGTTTTCATAAATGGAATTAGCTCGTTATCTTCCGGTCTGCCAAACCATTATCATATAATTACACAGCCAGTAATATTATTTAATGAGCACAATATTAATAAACCCCGTCTAACTCAGGTAACCAATTGTATCTGAGATAAATAAAAGATTCGATGTACATACTAATATGTTACTTTATAATGCACAGAGATTATGGATCTTCGCAAATGCTTACACACAAAGTCCATTGTTTCCTTTGTAAGGATCGTCTCTCTCTCTCACTGCTTTAGATTGGAATTCCTCGTAAGCAACAAATACCGATCGAGCTTTGTCTTCACAAGTGGATAGCTTATCATTCAAAGCAACCAGACAGTCCCCATTAGTGACGTAAGCTGCGAAAAGAACAGGATCTGTAGCTAACAAAAGTGGTTTTCTCATAACAATAGTATTGTTGTGCCAAAGCATGCGGTAGCAGAATGCTGCCTGGATGTTTGTCTACTTATAAGAGAAAGGAAATATTATGTGTGGGGGGAGGAGAATGTAACTACAGTTCCTTCTATCAAACATTTCATTTCTGCAAAGGCCTTAATGGAAAATATAATAAAGTATGCGCATAAATAAAAAATTTTAAAAAATAATTTAATAGCAAAAAAAAAAAAAAGACTTTCAGCAAAGACTTACCGATTTGTTGAAAATTAAGTAGTTTGAATGCAAAATTAATGGATGTACATACAATAGAAAATTGTTTGAGATAATGTAAACAGATATTACCATAGATACTAAACAAAAACGAAAATACGATTCTATACCGAAGTACAGAATACATGGCATTGTAAAATTCTTTCATTAACTACAAAAAACTGTTGTAAATACCCATTAAAATTAATGACGAATAATTTTGTAAATTAAAGTTATATTAAATAAATATATCATTACATTTCAATTTAAATTATTCAAGTGTGTGTTTAATGCCTTTAAACTGCTCACTTTCCTCAGCAGTTGTTTTTAGTGCAACAACATGGATAAATGGGAAAGATGCATCCTTTTCGGTTATAAAATATTTTACCATTTTATATGATACCGTAACACATTTTTAACTCCGTTTTTGCATTAAGTAAGTTTAATGCTCTTCAAATACAAAGAATTATTCATATGTTTACTTTTTAAGATGTATTCAGTTAATATATGTGCAATGATTAAGAATTAAATTGTGTACTTTTGCAGATATTTAATATGAAGAGCAATGCTGATAATTATGCTAATAATCATACCAAATATCATGTTAATAGTTAGAAAAAAATTATAAAATGGTAAAAAAATTAATAATTTTAATGCGTTTTTATCACTTAAACCTTTTTCAAAAATTTTTTTTTTTGAATTTTTGTTAATAGCTTTTTCTTTCTTTACAAAAATGCAAAGTTCCTATGAAATTTCCTCTAGTGTAAAGAGAAATGTTTCATTTTTTTTTTTTTTTTTTTACTTGGGAAGAATTTTAAGCGTTTGCAGATGCTCCGAAAGAAAAGTCCTACAAAATGTGTTAACAAATATTGTTGTTTCTAAATATGAATTATGCTCTTTCGTAATTGAAATCACATTATTTTTCAATCAATGCATAACTAAAGGCGGGATGATATTTTTCGCTTACTATCTTTTATAATAAACATGAAATTCCTCTTAAAACATCTTTTCCCAACTGAAAGTAATTATTTAAATATTTTATAACGCAGAAATATCTTAAAGCGGAGACCAACTGTGTAATAATAATTCGTTTCTTTGAACTAATGTGTATGTGTGTGTATTGAGAATACGGCAAAGCACACTAGGGCTATCTGCCTAAGGGGAGGGATGCCTTTCGTGGAGGACTTTCTTAGGGAAACTGGCTCGTATACACGTTACACATGGGGAAAACCACGAAAACGCCCATGCAGGCAGCCCGTTCGCGGGATTCGAACCTCGGACCGAACTACCAGTGTTCAACGACTTTACCACTCGGCCGCTGGTGGGCTTGAACTAATGTACACTGCGCCAAAAAAAAAGTGACAGTTTTATATCTTCCGTTCTACTGAGCCGATTGACGATATCAAATTGCGTTTTTCATGTCTCGAAAGTGCGACTTAGGATATGCATTAGATTTATATATAGTATTGTTGTAATGTAGGGATTTTGATACAAAATCGGACGTTTTCTGAAATGACATGCCAATTTTTTTCCATATTTCCATTATACGAATCAAATTACGCCAAAGTGCCAAGTTTTGTAAAAATCTCACGAGTAGTTTTAAGAAAATTAGCTCTCAAAATGTCAGGTCATACATGTTAATTGAATTTGGTATGTATTTATTAATATCTCTTTTTTATTAGACTTATTTGATTCTTCCGTTCGTATTTCGAAATTTAAGTTCATTCCAAATAAAATTCGCCCATATTTATGATTTATTTTTAAATAATTTTTATAAATTTCCCAAACAAAATATTGAATTATAACATATAAGAATTTTACCATCATCTTAAACTAGATGTATTTCTAAGCATACCTGCAAAAGTTTTTTTTTTTAGTCCAAAGGGATTTGAATCCCGAAGGACTATTAGTTTCGTTTTGGCATTTTGCGTCGGACTCATAAATGTCGGTTCACTTTTCAAACTGTTGCCACAAAATGTTAGAGTCCTGCATTATATTTGAAGAAATTAAATAATGAAAAATCTGCATAAATGTATGTATATTTCTCGTATTGTGATAAAACAACGGTACATAGAGTCATCGAATTTTGAATAACATAATCCTCCAACGAATATGAGCATGTGGAAGACCAAATTTGAAATTTGAAAATTTGTTTTATGATCGATTTCCTATTTTTTAAAACTTTGACGAATTTTTGATTAACAAACTCAAGGATTTCAAAGCGAGCAATGGCAACGTTGTGCAGAAAAAACATTTTTATCTCCAGCGCGTGAGTCTCTGTATCGGAAATTCTAAAGATATGCTCGTTTTAAAACTATTTTGCGATATTGCTGTTGCACTGGATCTTATGGTTTAAGTGCGATTAACATGATATTTAATAAAGAAAGGTAACACACAAAATGTTTAAAAACGCCCCTTTAGACGTAATTTAAAATCTGAAACATTTCAGATTTTTTTTTTTTTTTTTTTTTTTTTTTTTTTTTTTTTTCAAAATTTCGTAAGATATACGTGAATTAACATATTGGCGCGTTTTGAAATTTGGCATATACATTATAAAGAAAAATAACGCCAAATGTGGTTTACGTACTTTTTTAAAATTATTTGGAAATAATGAGCGATGACTTTTTTCCCTCTCAGATACAATGAAAAAAACGGAAAAGAAAATAGGTTGCTATAAATTAAGAAGTTCGTCGAATGAAAAATTCTCGGCGCAAACTGAAAAATATTACGCGAAGATAAAATTTTTTATTTCTCCATAAATTTAATATTCAGGTATAATCTGAGTCATAGAATCGAAATATAGAAAGAAAACTGGCATGTCTTTTCAGAAAAAGTCCGATTTTGCGTCAAAATATTTAAATTAGAAAAATGCTATAAAACACCTAATATATATCCTAAGTCGCTCTTTCGAGATATGAAGAACGCAATTTGAATTTGAATTTCGTCAATCGACTCAATAGAACGGGAGATATAGAAACTCTCCCATTTTTTTTTACCCGCAGTGTACCTTAATCATTTCAGTATAACAAATCTCTTTTTTGTAGTGTATTTGCCATACTATTAAGTTTATGAAAGTGTTATTTGTTTGGTATTTTTTTAACTGCATGGGAAATCAAAAATGGATTTTCAATGAGTTCCATACAGTATGCATAACAAAACTTTTATTAATGAAAGCAAAGGCAGTTTGTTATATTTTTCTATTAATTTCACAGACTAACGCAATCAAATTTATGGCTGGTTATGGATAAGTACATAAAGGTTAGATCTACCCTAAGACGTCTGTCATTATGACGGAATTCACAAAAGGAATCTTATACCAGACAGCCTTTATGTCTTTCGTAACTTAAATATTCTTTCGTATTTAAGTTGCGCAAGATAAAAGCCTCAAAATTCACCCTGCAATCTATTTTTTCTTGCAGAGAATGGAAATCTAAAGAAACTTTCGATATGCAGCTGTTTCATCCACTTGGCCATTGATTGGCCTCGACTTTTATTTTGAGGGAAAATATTGCGAGACATTTGAGAATGACATATTCTAGAATTTGTTGTTTTCTTCCTCGATTCCCAAGAGAAAACTGTTGCTGCAATAGATAGCTTAATCTTACTCTCATAATCCTGAATTACGTTAACTTTATTTGAATACACATGTTTTGTAGATTAAAAGCGCTGCAGAATATTTACGTCTTTACAATGTATAATGTATCTTATTTAAGCAAACTAGTCATATATATTAATGGATAGAAGTTTAGAAATACGTTAACAAAACATCTAACGAATGATCCTCTAGCGGAAAGTTAAGTTTCCTTAAACTTCCATTACAAGGTTCGGAAGCCATAACTTTGTTTTCAATGATCTGCACACATTTTCATCTTTTTCTTTATAAAAGTTAAGCACTCAATGCCCTGAAATTTTGTTAAGTGATGTGTATGTCTAAAGCAGTTATTTGTAAATAAAACAATTTACTGTTTTTGTGACTTATCTCACTTGTGTGAGAGATCACGAAGAAAAACGCGAAATTTTGTCTCTCATTGGCATGGGCCCTTAGAGGTGATAGAGCGACTTTGGCCAGTTCCATACCGATTTTGAAGGACAGTCCTCCCGGGAGACGGCCCCAAAGATGTCACAACCCTCACTCCTTGCAACAAGCCTCTAGAGAGGACATTCAGTATGTTGTGAATTTGAAGAGCCTTTATGCCAGAAAAATACTGTATACTTATAAGCATCCAAGTCTTCTTTGTCTGGAATTGGAAACTGTGCCCAACGATACAGTAACCAGCATCTGTAATCAGTCAGGTATGATTGTAAGGAAATACTAAAATTTAAAGCTTCGTCGTGTATTTCAAATAGAATTAGTTCACAACCGTAATGACTCTTTTCGTCATACAGAAAAGTATAGTATAAAGATTGGTAACCAAAATGGATGTGAAATTAATACACTATCCTATGTTGAGGACATTGTCTGTCAGTCGTAGCAATGAAAATTTTGGCTGTTAAAAGTCATCGTTATGGTTAGCAACGATTGTATTTTATCCATTATTTAATATTTTGACCTCTTCTTTTTAGATCTTTCTACTTAATAATTAAGATAATTTGTTATTATATTAAGATAATATAATAACAAAATATTAAAGTATTATAGCTTGGAGGCAAGTTTTTTTTTCTTATTACTTGCTCCGCCCTTGGGCACTACACGGAAAGAGAGGGATGCCTCGTGGAGGTCTTTTTAAGGGAAACTGGCTCGTATCCACGTTACAAATGGCAAAAACCACGAAAACGCCCATGCAGCTAGCCCGTTCGCCGGGAGTCGAACTACCAGTGTTCAGCGGCTTTTACCGTTCCTCCGCTGGTGCGCCATTGGAAGCATGTTGTTAGTGGGAAGTCATCTTTTCAGTGCAAAGATTTCAACAGAGCTACTTACATTATTGTAAATTTATTTCTTATAATAAGAAATAAAATAATTGTCATTTATAAATACCGTAATATAATAAGAAACAAATAGACATATGACTAAAAGCCTGTTCACTAAACTCTTTTGTTATACAGCAGATACGAAATTTTTGCAGCATAATTTATCATAACTGCATATGTGGATATAATAACGATAAATTAATAGAAAACAAACTGTTTTCTTAAAACATGTGAGATATGAATTGCTAAGGTAACATCGAAGAGGAGTTACTAAAAATTATACAGTGAAGCAAAAAAGTAATGTAAAGAAAACAGTTGCTAATATAAAAATTAAAACATATGTTATAAAGCAAATATTAACGAATATCGAAAAAAAAACTAGTTATTAGAATGAATTCCGTATTCTCGAAATGCAAAAAACTAAAATTGTTGATAAGCATTAAAAGAAAATAGAAAATGCTAAAATATATAACAAAAACTTGGTATATAGTACGCTGCTGGCATTAAAATTGCAATACCAGGAAGGAATGATCTGACGAACGTAAAATCACATGAAAGGAAAAAGAGGTTGGGATATCCAAACGATTAGAATCTCAGCGCATTTAAACGACGCAAAAAGGAGAAACGACGTCTGAAGTAAAGATACTATATATTTATAAGCAGGAAAAGTTTTAATAATAAAAGTTGTGTTCTCATTCGGAAAGTGCGTTGCTCAGAATGTCGTGTTATACCTCGAATAAGAATACGAAATGCTTACCAGCAAGTGTCGGAATTCGATAGAGGCATTATCGCTGCATATCGAGAGTGTGTATTACCGTTCTGTGACATCGCCCGTCGCATTGGTCAACATCCAAACACTGTCCTGCGAATATGGAATCAATGGGTTACTGAGGTTCATACTGAACAGCATGTAATATACCGACACCCTCCCATGACTAATGACCGAGAGGAGAGATATATTGTGAGGTCAGCCCTGTAAAACCGTACAACCACATGAAGGGAAACCGTACAACCATTAGTCAGGAAATGCGCATGTTTCCAGCACGCTTAGTATCCGCTTGTAAGGTACGCCGACGTTTGCAGTAGCGTTTACTATCAGCACGGCGGCCATTACTTCGGCTTCCCTTGACAATGCAGCATAGAGGAAGACGGCGACTTTGGTGCCCCGAACGACGAAGCTGGATACAGGAGTGGCACATCATTACGGGAATGAGAGAGCGGATGCTCTAGCGAAAGAAGCCTCCCTGGGGGTTGGGACCGAAAAGGTTTTTATTCAAGATTCGAAAAAGAAGACATGTACTGTAATACATGACAAGCTTATTAGAGACTGGAAAAATTTATGGGATCTCTCTGAAAGAAACAAAAATTATCTAAACTGTTTAAACATTAGCAAAAAAAATGGGAATTTTAGGAGATGCAGATTTTAATCAAATTCTTACTGCACATGGAAAGTTCCCTGCTTACTTAAAATGGTTCCACCTCCAGGGAAATGATATATGTAAAGTTTGTAATAAATTCGGCGATTCAAAGCATTTCGTCGAGGACTGTTGCCTGACTGGAAGTGTGAGAGCAAAATATAAATTTGCGAAGTTTGAGGATTATTAGTAATTATAAATGTTTACAAAATTGCAAGCAGAGATATTATGCAAACGGTGAATGAGAATAAGAAGACTATTGGTATCGAGATATAACAAAGCAGAAAATCATACTGAAAACAGAAATAATTGAGGTAACTTATAAATTTAAGATGAATTTTGATAATATAAAGAAGATTTGAATAATAATAACTAATTGAAAGTAAAACTTATAAAGATTTTAAACTTCAGAAAAGAGACAGAAATGGAAAGGACGCATTTATATACTAATTCACTGAGAGTGCTTAGAATATATGTATCTACTTACGTTTTTTTTTTTTTTTTTTTTTTTTTTTTTTGTTTGTTGTTGTTGTTGTTGTTGTTATGCCTTTGTGGCTTGGCCTGTCCCCTCATAGCCATATGGTAGGTTTCACCTGCTAGGTGGGCTGGGGGCCAGTGCTTAGAACTAACAAATCAACAGGAGTGGCACAATGTCGTCTTTTCAAACGAATCTTAGTGCTGTGTGCTGAATTCTGATGGCCTGTATGGAGGCTCCGAGAAGAACGCACTTCGCCCTGCTTGCATTCGATGTTGCCATAAAATCCTGCACCTGGTGAGATGGTTTGGGAAGCCTTTGGGTACACGACACGCACATCTGTAATTCGAATCGATGGTAATTGAAACGCAGATTGGTACATTTCTGACATCTTACGTCTAGTGGTTGTGTGCTATCGTCTAGGCCTGCCAAACGCCATCTTTCTTCAAGATAATGCAAGACCACATGTTGCACATCGTGTTCCGACCTTCATTCGATTGCTGCCTTGGCCTGCACGGTTTTCAGATCTGTCACCCCTTGAAACCATCTGGTAATGGGTTACTGAGAGACTGGCTAGCCACCCCTCACCAGCTAATACGGTCAATGAAGTCTGGTATAGATTTGAAGCAGCATGGAATGAATTCCCCGTTTCTGTCATCCAAGTCCAGTTCGACTCCCTGCATTAGGGTCGTTTTAGCTGCCAGGGCTGGCAGATGTTTTGTATAATTTTGCACCCCTGTAAACCCCCAGACTGCGTACAAATTTCATCATTTTGTCTTCATTGTGTTAAACCTCTTATACACGATTTCTTATATTAATATCGGTGAGGAATAACCTTAACCTCTAATTTACTTTTAGCTTTAGAATCTTTAAGTCTAAATGCGCGCACACACACACACACACACATATATATATATATATATATCTTCGAAAGAAACCACTCTTGTGCAGTAAAATTTGATGTATACTATTTTAAGAATCAGGGAGAAATTCATGTAAAAATAAAATTTGAGCTTCAAAAACTTAATGGTAAGGGATGTCTAATAACTCAGAGTTATCGCTGTTTCACTTAATACGTAATCCCTCGTCAAACTTAATTATCTATATTATTAAATCATGCAAACAATATTAAATATTTGTGTTGAGAAATCACTTGTGATGAACCTAAAACATGGTAGTGCTAGGGTGATATTGTTAAAGTCATAATGCAATAATGCCACTGAGGATGGCAGCAGTTCTTATATGGCATGTGAGCTTACACCTACACACATACATCAATCAGCTCTGTAATTGGATATATCACAATCATGAAAATGTACATTCCTCACAATACATCTCCAACCATTGTGCAATTCAAGGAAGTCTTGCGAATCATTCTTGTATTATCTCCAGGTCCATCTTCTATTAATAGCTAATATTTCTTAATAATGTGCTGTTTGTGCTGTGTTCTGTAAACGGAAGGCTTCACTGCTCGCTTAAATGAACATAATATTGTTGTTGCTTATGAAAAAAAAATGTGATAGTCATTTTCACGATGCGTGTGTTAATTTTAGATCTAATTTTCTGCTGAAGTATTATCACTATAGCCAGAGTAGTTACCGTAAATTACGACAAGTGTATCTTTGCTGTCATAACAATGTTTAACAAATAACGGCAACAATCAGGCTTCGTCAAAACACTATGCATGCTGAAAACTATAGTCTGTTATTTTAAAATAGGGAATTAAGGTCGTAGCGACCGTCACATCATTTAAGATCGTAACATGCGAGATTAGCACATCATAAAGAGAATTAGGGGATTATAATGCATTAGATTATTAGCTGATTAGAATTTTTTCCGCAGTAGTTATTAATCATGACTTGGACGAAGAAATGTCCTCGAAGTGTCTATTCTAAAATACCTGACTAGAGTATCATGCACTTCTATTTTTATATGTGTTCATTACTATATGGCATTAGCCTTATGCAGTTTCTCCCTTTTGCATCGGCTTTTGACCCTGTCTGTTATTTAAAAACAGTTCTGTATTTTGAAAAGTGAATATACTCTACCTGATTGCTTTTCCAAGCACTCGTATTCGGCGTGCAATTCAGAATGTATTAAATAGACAAAAATTATTTCAAAAAAGTCTTCATATCACCAAAGAATAGTTTGTACTTATTTAAATCCTAAATCTTATTTTAGATAAAAGTGATGGATGTAATATGTGTATCAATAATGATTTAGATATACATATAATATACGTAGATAATTGGATTTAAGTATCATACATATGTACAAGTATTTGCAGGTATAGGTTGGAACAAGTGCACCTGTACATCCATCTACCCATATTAAGTGTGGCTGGACGTTATAAGTACTTACATATAAATTTAACTAAAATGCTTCTTAACTTACCTTCGTATAAAAGGGAATTTTCATTACAAATCTCACTAATGACATTTTGCATTTTGACAAATGTTTCTGCCGAAGGAAGTGCAGTTCCTTCTAATGATCCACAATTTTCTTTGTATTCTTTTAGACAATTTATATACACAACAGCTGATCTATTGAGAATCAAAAATAATTAATTTCATTACGATAATATAATATAATAAAACATGGTAGTGCTAGGGTAATATTGTTAAAGTCATAATGCAATAATGCCACTGAGGATGGCAGCAGTTCTTATATGGCATGTGAGCTTACACCTACACACATACATCAATCAGCTCTGTAATTGGATACATCACAATCATGAAAATGTACATTCCTCACAATACATCTCCAACCATTGTGGCAATTCAAGGAAGTCTTGCGAATCATTCTTCAGAATTCATTCATCAGAGATATTCATCAGAATATCTTTGATGCATCTGATCATCTGATGAGATAGATCTGATGCATCTGATGCATCTGATGAGAGAGATTCATCAGAATATCTCTGATCTCTTGCGAATTCATTCATCAGAGATAATACTAATTTATATGTAAGCATAAAGCCATTAAATTTCGCAATTTTACAAAGAAGATTTAGTATCATACTATCTTAAATTCTAGTGCAACATTTCATTTGCTGTATTGCCTTGAACACTCAAGTTAATTTTTAGTTTTTAATACCAAATTCAGATAGTTTTTCATACTTCCAAACCCACATGCTACAGTAGTACGCCGATGAAAATACTTTTATTAGTTAGCCGGATGAAAAAAATAGTCATAGATCATATATTTATTTTCTGAGTATTTCTAATAATTCAAGCTATATACATTTCTTGTATTATTTAAATTTAATCTGAAAGGAATCAAGGAGGTGACCTTGTTCCTTCGCTTGTTTCCCCCTACCCATTAAAAGAACGCATTGGAATGAATTTCCCGGATGAAAAAAGCCGATATTAATCTTACAAAAGTATTGAACTAAATTAAAGTTGCTGGACCATTGAAAAATTAAAGTAATACAAGACAGGAAAGCAGAATTATAGAATAAATTCATCTGTTATATAAGAAAAAAGAAAGATATAATTTTCAATCTTTTCAATCAAATAATAGTAAAATGAGAACTTATCTTGATTCTAGAAAGCAACGAAAAAAAAATAAAAATAGAATTATAATTAAAATACAAGAAAATAAACTAGCTTTTCTACTGGGTAAAATGAATAAGTGAAATTGAAAAAATATATGAGGGTAATGTTTTATTTTTATTTTCTTGTATTTTTGTCCTCTCTATTTCGTGTACCATACAAAGGCGATTTAATATCACACGCGTCCTTTTCTCAACAGTAATTTATTGTTTTTACTCCTGCAGTGAATTAATTCAAACATGCACCGATGTTTTTCGAGATCAAGTCAGTAAAGGCAAAAATACGATTTGAAAACAATTAAATTGAGATTAAAAGAATGAATGAATTTTACTATATTCGCCGCTGTTCCAAGGATAGTGGCTCATTTTGAGCCTACTGTCTCGGGTGGCGTTTTGGCTGTAAACCAAAATGTGGATGAACATTATTGATCGCATTTCTTTTTATGTTAGCTATTTTTCTGCATTGTATCTAATAAATTAAAATCCCTGTGCTAAATTACTTTGTCTTTAAGCTAAGTTAGACCGGGTGATAATTTTATAATTTTAACTGCAGATTTATAGCCTACTTTATATTTTAATATATCATTCCACTTAAATAATGTTATATTGGCTTAATAGCTTAATTTCTGTTTGTAATAATTGATTTATACTTAAAAGCAATCACCAAATATACAAATATCCTTAAATAGCTTACGGCCATTAGTTTCGTGAATTTGGATGGATTGCAAAGATTGTCGAATCATACATTTGTAAAATACAGAAAATTTAAATAAAAATTTTGCACATAATATACTGCAACCCAAGATAACTTTTTGTTCCCAAATATAGTGCATCCTTAAGGCATTTTAAATTAATTAACCAATTATTAAAATTTAAGTCTTAACTACAACTTCTTCTTTCCGTATTTCTCACCAGAATGCAAATTAGGTTCGTGTGGGCTTAGCTGAAGGTTTTGAACTTTTGAGTTAGAGTTTCTGGCAACCGAGTCTTACTGTTATTTACTCTTGCCAGCTCTTCTTAAAATTGTACTTTATCGTCTTGCTAGCTAATGCTTTAAAATACTAGCCGGTTGTTATCTGAGCCAACTTAAATACTCTATTTTATGTGTAGTCTAAAACCACATAATTTATAATATACAATTGAATTCAGCTTTGCTTATGTTAATTTAAACACCCACAAGTAGAGGGATTTCATCTGTAACCCAAGTTGTGCCCTTTCTATTCAATTTAAGACTAAATAAAAGTGTTATTTTAACCTTCTTCGGTTATTCGTTACTTGTTCCAGACTGAACGATAACTCGCTATAAGTCTAAAAGCTTTCAGTTACAATAGAAACCTACACGTGCTAACACAATGAACTTTCTACCAAGCCAGAAGTTAAAGTTCTAAGTAAATTTATAAAATATTTCATTCAATAGCTCATTAGCAATCGGGAGATTGGTTTAAGGAATCTATTTATGCATATGTAAAACGCATGGTTAATTATGATTACGTAAAACATTTTAAAAATTTGGAACAAAGAAACTACATTGGCCATAATAAATTTTAGAATAAAATTAGTTCACACCTTCTTTTCAGTATCGTTACGTGGTTTCATTTGCGTTGTTTACTTATAATGAATTTTGTAAAATGCGCATTAAAGTGAGATGACAGTTTGTAAATTTAAAACAGCAGTTTACAGCAACATTTTACTTCCTAAACATATTTTTGCTAAGATAGTGCTTATTTTTAGCAACATTAATTTAAAATGATCACATGAATGTTTAAAATTATCATTAGGCCAAAGACTATGATCAGAATAAAGATATATATTTATCGTAGATATTACATGAAACATGTGATTGCAGCAAATGTTAGAAGGAAGATGTTAAAACGGGAGTGCCTATAAAAAATTATTTTTACGTAGAAATACAGTATACTGCGTTGTGTTGATGCAATACCTAAAACTAAAGAATGATGAGAATTATCTTTCTTAACCAACAGCTAGAAAACAGAATACTAGCTGTACCTTCTCTTTGCACTGCATAGTGCCAGTTAGAGAAATAATTACGTTTCACATGCGATTTTGTATTTTCTAGTAGCTACTTAAAATTAGTCATTATGGGCATGTAAACGGATGCCAAAAAGAAAACACAATTACCATCAGCACCTTAAAATTCCTTGAAAGCTACTCAATATAGACTCGAAACACTGAATATTATACAGTCATGTCCCTATCTTGATTCATCAGTATAAATACTAATATCATCAAATCGTGAATAAGTAAATATAACTGAAGAGATGATTTTGTAATAACCTCACCGATTAATTTTCACACACATAAAATTTTTTTTAGCTTAAAAGAGGACTGGATCCCGTACATCGGTGCATGGCGAAAGAAATGCAAATCACGTGCTGGTTGTGTAGGGTTTCCCTTAATTCAATTAACCAATTATTCAAATTTTCTTATCTTTTCTGAACTCGTAGCTTAACTTCGCATTTTCTCGCCAGGAGGCAAATTTATTAAGAGAGTATTTGAACGTGTGAATCTTGGAGTTTAGGTAGTTGAGTCAACCTAGTCAGCCTTAACTTAAAGTGTTAGTCCAGCACTACTCTTTAGCTTTGAATTTACTGAGTAACGATTCTTAAGTTCCACCATAAGTTGTCAGAGTTATTGTATGCCGAAGTATGTGCCTTTTTGTTCAGAGTTTGAATAATAATATAGGGTTATTTTTATCCTTCTTCTGCGCTGGTATCATTTACGCCTGTGAGAGGAGTCGCCAGGTTCCTTAGTAAGATCTAGTAGAGTTTATGTTACCAAAGAAAACACGATCCTACAGTTGCTTAACACATCAGTTCTCATCGAAATAATGCTTCTTTACTGCGAGATAAAGATACTCGAAACTAATTACTCCAGTCGTTTCTTGAAAGCACTTACTACTACATTTTCTATGAAAATTAAAAGCTTGAAAACATCTTGATACAATCAAACACAGGTAGCGAAAGGAAGTGCTAGCGAGGCCTTCTCTACGAGAGGAGAAACTAGTTAATTGTGAATTTTAGAATCTGTTTTCTCTCCGGTAAATAAGAAATAAACACGTTATGGTACTTACGTATTAACATCACCATTTGCTCAAAATTTGGAGGTTTTTTACAAATGAAAAGGTAAAAATTAGTTATCGGGTGCAAGCTGGTGTTTTCCGAACCTTTCTTCTTTTTAAAAGATTCCTAAACTATTGATACTTATCGTAAATCGGTAAACATTACCAACATATGAAAAGAAAACATACTTTTGCAATTTAAAATGCAAATTTCAATTATTAAATAAAGATAACGTAAAACATTAAAAATAAAACACTTTCATTTTTTTTCAAATCTTTCCGTAATGTTTTCGCGCTTCTCTTCTCCCGAAATACACAGAGATCTGCTTTCGTTTAAAAAAAAATCAGAAAACTGCGAAAACTCTTCTTGCAATCCCCGGCTATAGGGACTATCGAGAGGAAGGGCATTTCCTAGTTGTTTCCTTTATAAAATATTTAGCAGAATTCTGTATTGTCGCAGAAACTTTACGCCAGTTTCTTCCATTGCTGCCGAATTCGACATGCTCACATTTTAAAACTAGGGGGGAGGAACTATCATTATGTGTTTATAACAACCATTAAAAGTTGCACTACAGCAAAAAAGAACGCGTATGAAAATGGCGGCGTTGCTTGATTGAAGGATTGTTATGAGCATGGTGGCCGGAAGAATGGTTATGAGAACGGTTGGCAGAGTTGGCACATCCTAAAATTTGGTGACCACTTTAGTAGCTAATACGTAAGTACCCATGCCACGTCTTCGAAAGTTTAAAACTGGAAATCACTTGAAGTGTAGAATGCTTTCACTTCAAGAGTACTACATTTCCGTAAGATTTTGACTTGACCAACTTTAGTCTCTGTACAGTATAGTTATGCACTATGTGACCACAAATTCGAAATTCTGTCCAATACCGCGATGTGTAGACCACATATCTTTTTGAACACGGAAATGACACTTTCACTATTGTTGATTTTGTCACCACACGTTTATAATTAATCACTGTATTCTTACGATTTTTGCCGCGTTCATGAATTGCCACCATTTAGCAGTATATTTTCACAATTTGGCACATTTATGATTTGGAGTTACATATTTAAAATTTAGCACGATATTTTGACTATTTGTCGCATTCATGGTTTGGCACGGTTATGAAACCTACTAAATATGTGATTCAAAACGTAAAATTTAATTAATATATATGGTTTATATTTAACATTCGGTGTGTCGCCCACCAGCGACTGAGCAATAAAGTCGTTGAACAGTAGTATTTCGGTCAGGGGTTCGAATTCCGACGAAAGGGTTAGCGGTATAAGCGTTTTGGTGATTTCTCCATGTGTAACTTGTATACTAGCTAGTTTTCCTTAGAACATTCTCCACGAATGTATCCCAAGCAGATCCTCCTCCTCGTATGTTTTGTTGCTGCTAAATAAACTTAAACCTAAAGACATGGTATGTCACTAAAAGCGTTATTTAATATATGTTGACATATTTTAAATTAGAGTACATTATTACAAAAATACCCCTACATAAAATGACTGTCGTACATATAATGCATTACTCTGTTATTAATGATATCGTTAAATCTTCTGTTTGTAAAAATGTTATAAAACGGTTTTTGTGGGAGTGGAAGAGGAAACGTTTCTACGAGAAATTTCCAAATGAGCTTCCAAGCCTCGCTACATGATCCCCATTCCATTCCATTCCATTGACGGAAGACGCGAGCAAGAATGCACAGCATTAACGTGCCCCTAATCCCAAGTGGGGAGTATATTAAATGGGGAGTATAAAGAATAGGTAGGTAGGTATGGCGCGGCCCATCCTCCTGGCAAACCCAAGTTCGCATTATGGCTTTTCTTGAACGGCCACAAAGGAAAAACGTATAGGAGAACACAACATGGATAACCATTCATTTTCTCTATCCACCTTCATGGCATAACGGCACGATTCGTGAGGTCCTGGTTTGAGTCCCGGCGACGGTATTGCATATTTTTCACATGTCCTGCTTCAAAAAAGAACCCTATGACTAATACCTAACGCAACGTAACCTAATGACTCTACGCAGCGCACAGTGTAAAAATGTTATAATAATAGATTTTCGTATGTACAAAATTTGGAGGCCAAACACACAAACCACACTCCAAAAGCATTTATCACAATTGGATTGCTAAGAATTAGGGAACGTTTATTGCGTAACTGAATCTTTAAACCTTATAAACATAGGCTAACTAATGATAGAAAAAGCAACCGATCAGAATAGAAATACAAATTATAGAATGCAGGTGCTTTTGTTATTCAAGGAGTCAAATTACTTCAATGAAAACAAACTTACATGTTTGAATAAATTATACATTTAATAAATAGTCAGATAAACGTACGTACAAAAAAGTTGACTCATTAAAAAAACATATGTCAAGTGTTTCAGGCTGTAATTTTTAATACAAAAGCATAACAGTACTTTTTTAACCTCATAAACTGCATTTTTCTCTTTATATATTTTCATAACGAAAATTATTTTATAATATAATCAATATGTTGATAAAGAAATTTTACGCAACCTTCATTTTATTCGTTTAGTTCTTTATAACATTTGTTACGAGTTATGCTCTCTTTCTATTCTATTATAATGAATATTCCGAACAGGAAGAAATTGACAATTTACTATTAAAAAAGGCACAGTAAATACAGCAAGCTTATACAGCAAAGCAAATAGCTGTAAATAACTCACCTAGAGCTTGAATAGAGCTCCTTAGCGCACGTGAAATACAGTTAATGCTCAAAATCACTCATAAATTCTAAATCGCAGTCTAACAAACCTCTAAATCTCCCATCTGATTCACAATTGAATTCCCTAGCTCTCGAGCTGATATTTATATACTGAAGTAGGTACTCTGGAAGTATATGGAAGAATTGGGCGTAGGACTTTAAAAACATATTTTCCCAAATTTCTAAAAATTCGCTAAATGTCGCCAACTTGGGGACAAAATTTGTCGTTAAGGCACATGAAAGACGAATATGTTCGTATCTTGAACTCTACTTAGGCTATTTTTATGCACACTTCAAAGTTCAGAATTTAGATCAACACTAAGAAATAAAAAATTAAGAATTCTCTGCAATAAATTCGATACAATAAATAAACACTTAAATACAAAACATGTGGACAAGAATTCTATTAAACACCCAATAAATCTTAAAATTATTTTTCTAAAAGCAATAAATAAATAAAAAAGAATTAAGTAAAAAAATACAAACAATACAACATTACGCATAAACAAAAGTACAAAAACAAAAGTTTTAATTATCCACAAATGTTCACAATATTTACAAAATACTATTTAAAATATTTACAAAAATAAATAAATAATTATTATCAAATTTTAAAATAAAAATCAATAAAAAGAAGTATGTAAGTCAATGCACAAACTATAGCATAACATATGTACAATAGAATAAAAGGTATTTAAATATTCGCAAATATTTGCAATCGATTGAAATTGATGAGCCATTGTGAAACCACTGGAGAACAGATAAAACTTTTAGATATTTCGTGTGATGAATTAATATATGGCTGAAAAGGACAACTGACCGACTGTTAGGTAAAATGAAAGAATAAAACCATGAAAAGGCGCAGCAAATTTCTAAATCCTAGAAAGAAACAAGCATAATAGTTACCCATAAGGAAGACAAATTAGAGAAGATAAATTTTGGAGCTTTCGTGATAATCCATCCTGCTGCCATAGCCGTTAACTAATTCTTGAAGCGTTATTTTTTTCAATCAATCGATTATTAGTTTTAATTATAAGAAGCAACTTCTACATTTTTAATGCTTAAAATAACGACTGACGCAGAAATAAAAAGAAAATACATACGGACACATTTCCTTAATTTCCCTTTCAGTTGGAAATCTTTCTAGGAATAAAAATCTGAGAAGGGAATCATCTCCTTGGCATAATATTATCGGATTTTCCAAGCAGATATCTCGTTCAGCCTTAATACCTGTATCAAAAAGTAATAAGACTTTAAAATAAAAGTTGAGGTATTAAAAAAGGAAGCTAAAAAAAACAAAAGCAACACTGAGTGAAGCCTCCTGTGTTCTTAAAGGAATGATTAGCAAATTATAAAAATTATGTACTCATATTTGAATTAGTGTAACAACATTTTTCAGATATTCACATGCAACTAAATTATCAGTGTAGATACTTGTAGTAGGATGAAATTATAGTTTACCGGTAAAAAATATTAAAACTTCTCTTCAATTTAGCCTAGATTCCTTTTCTTAGCAGCCTTAAACTTTGCAATGTTGAACTTATACACTTTCCTTAAGATTACTCTTGAAAGTATTTTTGGAAATGATGTACTATTATTTTTAGTTCTTATATGCGCCACTAAAACTTTATTTTTAAGTATGAATGGGAATTCAAATTATTAAAGACACATTGTAGAAACATCAGGTATTTTTTGGAATCAGGAAAGATGAAAATTAGCAAAGCCTTCGCCGAGAATCGAACCACGTACCTCTGGCATACCGGCCCAGCGTATAGAACCACTACACTATGAAGGCACGCTAGGAAGTTGGAAGAAATACCTTACAATATAAATGAAAATGATTCCATTAATTATTTTAATAACTTAATAGATTTTAATTCCATTCAATTTAAATTCCTGTCAATTTTTCAAAACAAAAGCAGAAATTGCCCTTCAGAGGGCCGTTTTTGTGAATCATTAATCATAAATTACATTACACATGTCGCCCCAACATGGCAAAAATTGTCATCACGTTTATTAAGGATCTCTGCCTCGCCTCCGTAAGAAACGTAGAAGAATTTCTTTCGTGGTACTCTACATGTTATTCAGAATCTTAAACTTCAAAATTTCCTAACAAGGTTCACTTTTTTAGCATTAATTATTAACTGTAAGACTGAAAATTTTTGTGACGGTTTACGATTCGATTATCGTATCCTAATAAGCCATTAAATACGTAATTAAAAACAATAGACCACATACTACATCACTTATTTGGTTTGATTTATTTAATAATTGATTGCAAATGAGGAATATTTGCCGAAGAGGAAGGATGCCTCCTTCGAGGACCTTCTAAAAGAAAATATCTCTTGGTCTTTTTAAGTCTTTTTAAGAGAAAATAGCTGGTATCCACCTTACGCATGAAGAAACACAAAAATGTCCCTGCAGCCAGCCCATTCGACAGGACTTTACCGCTCGGACACACCCTGGTGGACAAAGCTCCATTGTTATCACGTTTTTATATAATATTGCACTCAATGAATATAACACATAAAATGTCTGCTATAAGAATAATAAAATAGTACTGCAAAAAAAGAGTTATGCTATGTTCGTCATAGTATATCTGTAAACCAAGACAATTAACTACCAGGCAAGTAATATATGGCATTAGAATTATACTTTATTCATTGCAGTAATATATCTACCTATATACCCTTAAGAAATGAAATAAGATTTAAGATGTTAAGACGTTTATTGCTTTTAAATTGCTTAGTTTACTAAGCAATTACGTATTGATTAAACTAGCGGAAGATAAATTAAAACCCTTATGTTTTTCAAAAACAATAACACTTGCCAAGATGAATGCATGGTACATGGTATGTCAGCGGCAGTGTAACGTAATGTAACATAACTTTATCTACAAATCCACTCATTTTTAAATGATCATGTTAAAGATATTTCTGTCATTAATGAATTCCATCTTTCTTGATACATTTATTTGTTTGTCTTAGTTAAATATAATTACGCTACAATAATTATAATATTTAATAAAAAATACAATAGTGTTCAAAATAAAAGCATATAAATTTGAACGTGGCTGTAGGAATTAAAAAACATAAAATAAAAACTGACTGTAGGAACTGAAAAACTAACCACTATGACTGGAATATTTACTATAAACTGGTCAGTTTCTCTTTCCGTATACAAATAAGCTGGAATCATCCGCAACTTCTCCTTCAATCATGAATCAAATGGTACAGTCAGGTAGGTGTCTCTTTCCGCTTCTACTTATCCACCCACCTACCTTAAGCATGAATATTTACAAGGTTCGCGGTGCTCTGCCACGATCAGCATTAAATTGCGTAGTAGATTGCATCTGACATGCGAGCCGCTAGAGTAAGACCGAATTAAGCTTGCGGCTGATCATTTAACTTATTAAATTATTCACTGCAGAACTGAGGGGAAAAGAAACAAAGACGGCAAGTATAAAAATGATAGTAGTCGGATTCATTTCTTTCATGTAGCTCCATTCAAAATATTCGGAAATATTTTAAGTTAAAATTTGTTTATTACCTTAGCTTTCGCTTTGAAATACTTTTTATAACTACTTTTGAATATCTGGGAGAATTATTAGCTATTTGCATCAATAACAGTAACTTATATTTTGGTACTATAAAGCGTTATTATTGTAGCAAAAATTCTAGAATTCTGTTTAAAAATTAAATATAGGCACCATAAAAAAATTAATATACATAAGGTGGTAGTGAGGGCGGAGCTGAGTGGCTAAGACTGCAGATTATTGGTAGTTCAAACTGGGTTCGAAGCCAAGCAAATGGACTGTCTGGCTGTTTTCTTGTTTTTCCCTTTGTGTAACCTGAACACCAGTCAGTTCCCCTCAGGAAGCTCTCCGAGAAGGCATATATTCCCCTTCTTATTTTTTGGAGACATTCAGATAATCTAATTTAATAAATTCTTTTAATCTCCCTATGCTTTCCTTACTTGCCGTTTTGTGTCTTCTGTTAAACATGAGTCATGAGTACAAACCAGAATATAAGCAGAATATTCCGTCAGATTCACATGCCTTCTTCAAGAATTCGTCAAAGACTTGATGACAGAAAACGATGACTTCCAATACTTTACAAAGCTTTACCAAAATAGAAATCGATGAGATATTTAATACTCCTTCCCTACGAGAAGAAACTAATTGGCAAAACAAACTATCGTCGCCCATGAACAACCGAGCGGCGAAGTCGCAGAACATCTAGCTTTAGGTCTCACGAACGAACGGGCTGACTGCAATGGAGTTTTCATGGTTTTTTCCCACCACTGCATGGGAGTTTTCTGAGTACTATATTCCAGAGTAGAAGAAGCCAGGTTCCATTAAAAAGACTTCTGGGAAAGCACCTGTTCCCTTTTTAAAATATTCTTGTATATGCGCCCATATTCCGAAAAAAAAAGTGTCATCACATAGACATTGAAAAATAAAAGGAAAAAAGAATATTTTCATGAGTTTTTTTTTTTTTTTTTTTTTCCCGTAGCATTATAAAGTCATATATCTAATAACTAAATCACATCTGACGAATTAACATTTTATATACCTAATGTGTTTCCACACTGAAACAAATAAATCACATGAAGGCGAAGATGCATAATGGATTTTCAAATTACGTTGGCCATTTGGTTCAATGATATTTCACTAAACAAACTTTTCATCCTTCTTGTATCATAACATGACTAAAAATGTTGTTGCAGGCCTTGAGTAAACATTTTGAAATCCATAGCCAAAATATTAACTATCAAAGTAAGTTTCCACATCAGATAATTAAAGAGAACCAAATACTTAAATTAAGCTATACATTCTACAAAGATCTCGAACTTCCATATCAAAAATCTTTACAGCAGAAATGTCAATTCCCCGTCATTTCTAAAAATGGTAACCATCTGTTTCTAATCCAGAGTTTTGAGATTATTTCATGAGAATATGCCTCAAAAACAACTGTCAGACTTAAAGCTCTAAACAACTCTAAGCAAACTCTGGTAATCTTGAAATCGCAATGAAGATTAAAAAAAAAATCATGCTAATGCTCTAGCAAAAAATGGGCTTTGTTTCATGTCGTAACAGTTTTTATATTTCAGAAATCTATATTTTCATATAGATTTCAAATGCCGCATGCAAAATAATCCATTTCTCTGTTTTTCTAAAGAGTTATACATTTTCTCGTATATTATGAATATATCTGCAATTTATTAAATTGATGTGACTTTTCTGTATTACATAAATTTTATATAAATTCCTACTAGTATTCAGGAACAGAGGTTTCCTTTTTCTCTGACCCCTGAAACGGTAAATTCGTGAACAGACAACTTTATTTAGAAATCTGTTATTCGGTATCTCAAATACTATACACTGATTTAAGACAGGAGTTTTTTGTTCATATGATTGTTATCTGTCATGTGACTTAAATAAAAAAAAAAGGTACTTCGAAGCATTGGAAACGATATGCCTTTTTTACGAGAACGAATGTTTTTCAAATTATTGAGTGAACTGCTTTTGGCATTCTTTGTAACTTAGGAAAAAATATCGTAGTAAAAATTTGGTTTACTGTAAGTCAACATAAGCTACATTCAGTGTTTATAGTTAATTGGTACCAAAAAGAAAATTTACTTTTAGCGATAAACTGCTCGTTTGTAACGCTATTTTATATGTCATCATTTTAATTTTTCATAGTCAATTATATCTATCATGACAACTTCTCTCGTCCACACGAATAGACAGCATACACTAGAAAATGAATTAGGTTAATTGGAAGCAGAAAAGATGAAAAATATGCAACCGCCTTCGCCGGGAATCGAAACATGGACCTCTGGAATATCGGCCCAGCGTGCTACCGTTACACCACAAAGGCAGGCTAGGGAAGTGGGAGAAATACCTTATAAATTAATGATCATTACAATGCTATAGGTCACTAAGAAAATAGAATTCTTCTAAAAATAATAAATTGTATTAAAAATTCGATACCAAAATCCATTTTTCATTCAATGATGCTTTTAGAAATATTTTTAATACAATTGTAATCTTACACCAATTCCGCATAGGCCTCGTTTACAGCAGGTTAAGAATAAACTTGTATGTTAAGGACAGGGATCTGTACTTATGTGCCTTAAAACTGAGAAATAAATTATTAACTTTGTTGCAAATGGGTATTATATCATTAAACTGTAGGGTTTATATTGTAACTGAAAGCTGAAGTCCT